TCGATTCAAACTAAACGAAAAGACATTAGGGTCCATACCCGATTCACTCACCTCTCATCTCAAATCTATCTATCTGCTCTATTTATTTTCTCTAAATTTATTAAATTAATCGTCTCACAATCATAATTATTCTTTTTTTTATTTTTTTAAATTATTTTATTTCCTTTTTCAACCTTTCAATTAATTAGTAATTCCTTTTAGATTTAAATTCATCTCTCATCATAGTTCAAGTATTTCTCGGTCCTTGGGGTTTGTTTTCTAGTTTCATCTCTTCATAACTTCCAATAGTTTAGAGTTCACTTATCATAGGTCCGAGTTCTATTATTTATTAAAATTTGGGTCAATATCTATTTTAATTTTAAAATACGCAAAATTAATAAAATACATGCAAAATTTCAAAAATTTTAATCTAGGATCAGAATCAGAAATACTTACACTCTTACGCAACAATCTTCCCAGATATGCCTAAACGTTTTAATTCCTTATACGCGCATGATATAAATTAATTAATATAATTTAAATACTAAATAGAAACTAATTTAATCAAAATCACTGGTTTCAATGACAACTGACAAGATGCCCAGCTCACCACGTAAGGATGAACAATCTACCCCCTTAGGGTCCCGGTTCCCAAACCTGGAAACATTGGGTTCCTTACCCAAGGAAGAGCTTTCGGTTTCCCGTTCGGTGGATCGGATTTTTGTACCCGAAGAAGACACTTCGGCTTTCAATGGTGGGTCGATTTCTCATACACGAGGAGAACTCCTCGGTTCTTAAGCAGGTAGATGGCTAGGCCGAGCTTCTGCTGCCAATCCGACACCGATCACCACTCCCCGTCGCTTAACCACCTACCAAAACACACACAAAAAAATTTACCTTCCTAGCATGGTGCGATTCAGCCTCGGTTTGACTCCGGATGGTTCCCTCTCGGCCATCCATCAGCGACTCATTTGCTTACTTAAGATTTGGGTGACGATTTTTACGTCTAAAAATCAGTTAGTGTAAAATAGAAAAAGATTGAAGGAAGATAGGGGAAGAAAAAACGAAAAAATGAAACATTTTTACCTTACTCGCGTCAGTCTCTGCCATCGTACGACATCTCAGGCCAATTCTTCTTCTTCCTTCTTCCTTTCAACTTCGGCTTCTACCACTCTCCTGCCTCCGCCACTCTCTCCTCTTTTTTTCCCTTGCGGCAGCCGTTCTCGGCTCTCCTTTCACTCTCCCGCTTAGCTACTCTTTCTTTTTTCTCCTTTCCCTTCTTCTTCTCCGACCTCCCTCTTCCTTTCCTCTCTTTCTTTCTTCCTCTTGGCCCCCCCGTGCGACAAATCTCCTCTCTTCTCTCTCACCCGATCAGCTCATTTTCCTTTCCTCTTCTTTTTTTTGGCTACTCTCCCAAATGAAAAAAAACCTTAAATTTTTTCTTTTTATATCTGTCCTCTCCAGTCGTTGGATCTCACTAACTCGATCTGGATCGTTCATTTTTTCATAAAATCTCAACCGTTTGATATTCTCATACGGTTCGATCAAGACCGTCCGTTTTTTTTTTTATCCCCTTTCACTTCTACTTATTTATATTTTTACCTTCTTTTTTTCTTATTTTTTTTTCATTTAAATCCTTAAAATTAAATAAAATTTCCCAAAATTTATAAAATTCTTTTATTTAAATTCAAATTTTAATTTTATTGATTTATTCACATTTTTTTTTTTATTTTAGGGATTGGATGTTACAATATATATGTTTACATTAAATTTTTAAGAATATTTTATATAAAAAGTGTGAACTAAGAATTAGAAAAACCATTTAGAGTATTTGTATTTCAAAATATATGTAATATTTTCTTTTTGCATGGCAACACCAACTAAGAAGTATCAGTTATTTATAGGTCTCGAGCTTATAAGCTAATAATTTATATATATATATATATATATATATATATTTTTTTTTTTTTTTTAAATATGCGACTACCATCATAAGAATTCTGTGATAAAATTGTTTGAATTTGTCTAATTAGTGAACCTTATATTTTTGGAGTAATTGTGATTTTATAACTAACAATAGTTAAAATATTGGTTAGTACATATCATTGTGATCATGTGGATAAGAATTAAACATTTGCTCTGTTCACATTTTAATATGATTTGAGTTAATTCTTAATATTATGCCACTGCTAATAGAATATTGTGCTATCATAATTGTAGATTTATGATTTTATGCAACTGTGATTAGGTGTAATTTGATTTATATAAGAGACAATGTTTTTATCTAAAAATATTATATATTTATAGACTTTTGAATTTCTATTTTAAAAAATAGTTCTCAATAATATTATGTAAAAATGTTCAACACTAATCACTAAATATATCTTGAGGACTAATTACTTTGTATGGATAT